AGGCACAACACAGGACGAATCAGCTCTGCATAAGCAGCTTCACCTCAGTCTTTACACCCAGGAGACCACTTGCAGCCATAAAGAGCCATCACGCTAGCAAGTGCGCCCTGATCTCCAACACATCCACAGAGATTAAGTGGCTCACAGGCCAACAGTTTGCACAACAGAAGAGCTTTTCAGCATCCTTCCCTGAGAAGTACACAGCACCAGGAGCTCTCCACAGAAGCCCCCATGGGCTTTCAGCCACCACCTCAACGCCTGCCTTGCTGTGTTGCTTTCTGGCTGTTGGCCGATTTAACTGTGTTAACTGGCTTTCACCTGCCTTTAGGGGAAAAAACCCAACCAAACAAAAAAAACCCCACCAAAAACCAAACTCATGAAACAAGTGCCTTCCAGAAAACAAAATCCCTGGGCACTACAGCAAAGAATTCTAATCCAAGTTGTATAATAACACGATAACATGCTCAAAAATTCAAGCTGACACTCCACACTATCATTTCATGTATCCGTTTGACCCCAGAAGATGGAACAATGCAAAGGAATTTAAGTACTGTATCACCTCCCTACAGCTCCTTGGTTAGTTCCTTTGTTCACTGACACCTGAAAGCTAACCGTGGCAGCATGCTTAGGGACAGGGCTCAGTGGTGGGATGGCAGGGTTAGGTTAACCGTTGGGCTTGATGATCTTAAAGGGCTTTTCCAACCTCAATGATTCTATGATTCTATGCTTTCCAATACCCCATTTATCTTTGGAAGTTATTTTAAGCTATTTTTGTATGGCTGCCACTTTCAGCCTCTTTAACACAACCGCCTTTTACATCTTTGTCTGGGAAAGGCACCTGCTTAAGATTAAAGCCCTTGGAAAAAATATTTTAAAACAGGTTTTAACTTATAAACGCTTTAAATCAGAATAGCATAAAGGCAAGCACTGCAGAACAGTTTTATCTTGAAGACATTGTGATCTTAACGCTTTTTAATGTGTAGGTCTCCCTCGAAGAGAACTTGTTAGAAACTGTCTTTCCCGGGAGGCATTCTTCTGTGTTTAGCTATTTTGTTTTTCTTTTTCTAAAGAGAACTTAAACAAAACGGCACATTTCGAGGAGTCTTACGCTCATATTCTCTTCTACAGGCCAAATTTCTCAGGTATACTACACATCCTCCATGACACAAGGCAGTCTTTCCTTGGTCTGTGAAAAGTCAGTGCATCCTGGACGAGGAAACTAGGGCAAGCGCTGAGCATCAAACCTGGTCCTGACCTGCAAAGTCCCCCAGAACGCGACACACTCCGCAGTCAAACCGTGGCTCACCAGCTACCAGCAGGTACTGCACCTGAACTAAAACATTTACCTTCAGGAATAAAAACCTCTTTTTAAAAAAAAAAAAAAAAAAAAAAAACCCGCCAATATTTTCTGCAAATGGCAACTAATTTTCCTTAAATTTTTTCATGTAAAAAAAAAAAAAAGAGGTACTCTTCTGATTAGAAGAAGTCTTTTGGAGTTGCATCATTTGGGTGTTCTTGCAATTAACTGACACATACTGTTACAACAGCACCTGACAGATTATTTTCTATCAAATAACGCAAGGTGTACTCATGATTTTATGACATAATTTCTGAAGTATTTAGGATCAGTTAAACTTCTGGCCATTACACAGTGTATGTGATGCTTGCATGATTAGCATTATGCAAGGCGAGCTGTTAATAATAGGTTTCTACAAAACGCAGGAAAGATCCTGCGTGCGTACTATTATTAGATCCAACCCTGAAAAAACAAGCAGCAGCAGAAGGCTGCTGCCTTCTTAGTGGAAGGCTCAGAATATTTGAATTCTTCAGATTTTTCTATTCACAAAGAGTGCAATTCCTATTTTGCTGAAGCTACTGGGAAAACTCACCCATTGGTTTCAACAGATTTGAAATCAAGCCCAAAAGAGGCAGTTTCCAAAGTTGAAGTGCACAGATAATTTGTCAGAGGCTCCTGTTAGTGTAAAAACACACACATTAGCACCAAGACTTAAAAAGTAATCTGAAGACATCTGTCACAGATTGTTTAGAACTATGAAATAGATATTACCCCGCTACATTACAGAAAGAAGAGGTTTACATGGAAAGAAATATATTTTAAAGTATGACATCTTCTCAGGTGGTGAATTATTTAACAGAAAAAACACCCCCAAAATTAAAAGGAGACCTTATATAACGTGACAAACAGCCATTTCTGTGTCTGATATTCTTCCTTTGGAGGTTATTCCTGATAATGTACTGTTCTGGAAGTTAAAAAGAAACTACAATACAACCACTGTAATCCCAAACAGTAATTATGACTCTGTCACGGTTTAACCCCAGCTGGCAACTGAGCACCACACAGCCACTCACTCACTGTCCGTCCCGTCCGCCCCACCGGTGGGATGGGGTAGCAATTCAGAAGAGTAAAAGTGAGAAGACGTGTGGGTTGAGATAAGAACAGTTTTAATAACTGAAATAAAATACAATAAAACAGTAGTAGTAATAATAATAAAAGAACATACAAAGCAGGTGATGCACGATGCAATCGCTCAGCACCCACTGACCGGTGCCCAGCCAGTCCCCGAGCAGTGGCCCCCCCAGCCAATTTTCCCCCAGCTTATATACTGAGCATGACATCATGGTGTGGAATAGCCCTGGGGCCAGCTGGGGTCGGCTGTCCTGGCCGTGCCCCCTCCCAGCTCCTTGTGCCCCCAGCAGAGCAGGGGAAGCTGAAAAAGTCTTTGATGGGTATAAGCACTACTTAGCAACAACTAAACCCTCAGTGAGTTATCAACACTGTTCTCATCCTAAATCCAAAACACAGCACTGTGTCAGCTACTAGGAAGAAAATTAACTCCATCCCAGCCAAAACCAGGACAGATTCAGACAGCATGAATTCACATAGCAGCCCAGTACAGTATTCCGTAACCAAACCTATCCTAAACATTAGATTGCCACAAATACCCATGTACTATGATTGTTTACATTCCTAGAATCCATGAATGAAATAATGAAATGCAAACATCCTAAACCACGACATTTCCTTTCATAACGCATCACGCTATGCTCATTGTCAGCTGATTCCTCATTCAACAAGTCTGATCTTCTAGAAGCTGGTAGGGGTGACAACATCATTCCTACATACAGGCCACAAACATAACTCATCGCAGCTCCCCAGCGCTCTCCTACCAGAGCACATACATTCCATTTTTGCATTTTACATCTTTCAGGATGTCATATAAGCAGCAAAAATGAGAGCGAGTGTTCACGAGAAGCACCACACTCACCTTTCTGAAGCTGCTCTGTGCTCTCCACTGCTGTGCATCAGGGAACGCACATGCCTGGGGCCAGACACAGACCCCTGCCTCGCTTAGAAGCCCAGCACAGCTACAGGTCTTCTCACTCATTCAACTCATGAAGAGTTTCCCAGTCCCAAGAGGAAGATGGGTGGCTTTGACTTGATGTCTGTTTCAGGACATTTTTAGAAAAATCATTCATCCATCACTGCAAGGCAACTGAATTCCTGGGGTTTTGTGCTGGAATAGAAATAAGCTTGTACAGAGAAGTAACGAAACTGCCATCTTTCTGAGACCACATGCGTGCTTCTAATTGGCAAGGGAACACAGGCTGAAGACAGCAAGGATCGGTATGAGACTAGACAAATGAGCCTCCACACTTACAACCCCCCTTTCCTGCCAGCATCTCATTTTTCATTCTTTCTGGAAACCTGCATCCTCTTTTCCTTCCTGTTTTGATAAGCAGAGCAGAGCAGCTCTCAAAGAGCACCCTGTGTGACAAGGTGGCAAAGTGCCAGAAACAAGCCAAACTGGGAATGCTATTTCTGGACTTGTCCAAATGTCTGAATACAATTAAATATTTTGATACGTGGCTGCAATTTCTGGCTATTTTGCACAGCGAACTATGAATTCCCAAGACCACTAACATTATTTGGTGTCTTATTCATCATCAAGCAATGGAAGTTTTACCCAGTGTTTGATGTTGGGACAGAAAGGCTTTAGTGGTGTAAAACCTCTGATGCCCATTGGAACAGGTTAAACGTTTTGACAAGAAGGAGGATGGTTTGGTATGTTTTTGTCAGAGGCATATATTCAGTTCCTTGCTTTACCACAGACTCCCTCTGCAACCACTGACAACTACTCAGTCCCAGAATAACCCAAGCCTAACTCCATCTTTGCTTCATTTTCACTACTTGCTAGCTCTGAGCCTTCATCAATTGCTGTGGGTGTTGTATACCTGGACTTCAGCAAAGCCTTCGACACAGTCTCCCACAGCATTCTCCTGGAGAAGCTGGCGGTTCATGGCCTAGATGGATGTACTCTTCGCTGGGTTAAAAACTGGCTGGATGGCCGAGCCCAGAGAGTCGTGGTGAATGGAGCTAAATCCAGTTGGCAGCCGGTCACAAGCGGTGTTCCCCAGGGCTCAGTTCTAGGGCCAGTCCTGTTTAATATCTTTATCAATGACCTGGATGAGGGGATTGAGTGTGCCCTCAGTGAATTTGCAGACGACACCAAACTGGGTGGTAGTGTTGATCTGCTTGAGGGTAGGAGGGCTCTGCAGAGGGACCTGGACAGGCTGGATCGATGGGCCGAGGCCAACTATATGAGGTTCAACAAGGCCAAGTGCCGGGTCCTGCACTTTGGTCACAACAACCCCATGCAGTGATCGTGGCCCTGTACTCGGTGGTGGTGAGGCTGCACCTTGAATACTGTGCTCAGTTTTGGGCCCCTCACTACAAGAAAGATGTTGCATTGCTGGAACATGTCCAGAGGAGAGCCACAAAGCTGGTGAGGGGCCTAGAGCACAAGTCTGATGAGGATCAGCTGAGGGAACTGGGGTTGTTTAGTCTGGAGAAGAGGAGGCTGAGGGTAGACCTTATTGCCCTCTACAACTGTCTGAAAGGAGGTTGTAGTGAGGGGGGGGTCGGTCTCTTCTCCCTGGTAACAGATGATAGGACGAGGGGGAATGGTTTGAAGCTGCACCAGGGCAGGGTTAGGCTAGACATTAGGAAAAACTTCTTCACCGAAAGGGTTGTCAGGCTCTGGAATGGGCTGCCCAGGGAGGTGGTTGAGTCCTCATCCCTGGGGGGATTTAAAAGAAGGATAGATGAGGTGCTTAGGGACAGGGTTTAGTGATGGCAGGGTTAGGTTAAAGGTTGGACTCGATGATCTCAAAGGTCTTTTCCAACCAAAGTGATTCTATGATTCTAAGGTATAAAGACTCCGAAGAATTTAGCCTATAAAACTACGGACCTTCACTCTTTGTAAAACGAGGCCAATACTGTTTTCCTGGTGTACTAAGTCAAAAGAATTAACGTTAAAAAACTAAGAGATGGTTAGAAGCTGCAGCAATGGGAACTATTTAAGAACCAGAAAGAAAAGTAAAGTTGGAGTTTCCCACTGGTATTTGCCAATGAATTTTCTCGTAAACGTTGCTGAGAATGGTAAGATACTCTTTATGATGTTTTAAGTGCCCTGAGAAACTGGGTGCCAGCATGCTAAGGATTTCTTGGGCAACTGTAAAGTAACAAGCATGAGGAGAGCCACATGCAGAAGTACACCACACAGCCTGTGCCTCTGGGAGAGCATTCGGAAGTACAGGTCACACAGCTAAAAGGCTGCACCTTAATTACTAGGTCTCCTAAACACAGACAGACAAGGCAAATTAAAATAATAGAAACTGAAAAAATCCGATGTGCCAAGTTTTTTCTTTGCTCACCCATCCAGCTGTAGCACACGTAACTGTTGTCACAACTTTACAAATGCAGGAGAGGGAAAGAAAAGAGAAGGTAATTCTGTCGTACGCCCAAGTGCACACACAGACACCAGGTACGCTACACACAGGCTGTCGCCACCGACTGCCTGCGGTTTCCAATTCAACGCCGTAGGTTCAGAACGGCGGCCCAACAGTACAACTTCCCAGGGATGGCGAGACGTTTGAAATGGTGGCTTTGAGGCACCCTTTACCCCCACGATTCTTTAGGCTGTTCCCCTGCCAGGCTGTTCTTAGGAAAATTTAGGACAACCTTAGTTTCTTAATTGACAATGCTTCTTATGGCCTTAAGAGTCCAGTGTCTTGAAATTGCTCAGGCATACTGCATTCTTATCATTCTGAGTAACTACAACAATGACACCATGAACAGGAGGCACACAAAATAGCTATTCCAGCATCTACTTTCCACGCAAGAATTACTTACATGAGGAAATACCAAAGGACTGCAGAAAATTACATGGGCACTTGCTTACAGTCCCACTGACATCACCACTCCTTCAGCACTCGCTTAAGCAACAACCTAGAAATATTGCTCCCAAGTGAGACGGTTTCTTGCTATGATTTGAAAATATGACCATTCTCTCCGTGGACAGCCATCAAACAAGGCTGATGTTTGTGCTTATGAGGTAGGAGACATAACAAAAGTGTGTTGCAAAACGGAGAAGCTGTTCCTATCACCAGAAGACCCTGTTTATTGCTGAAGCTCTGGGCAAGCCGAAGAGGAAAACACACTGTCACTGCAGCACTGATCGTTTTTTTCCTAAAGATTGGCCTGGTAAGATTGCCTTAAGATAAAGAAAACATGCAACACGTGAAACAAACACGTCAAGGTGTGTGTGCGTCACTACAACAGTACTACGAAGCTTCTGACACGGAACCTGGTCCTACTCACTGCACCGGTGGTCATTACAGTTCTGCATGTGCTAAGGCAGCAGCCACCACTTGCTTGGTTCTCCTTTGCCTGTAGCCTGTCATGAATGCATTTAACATCTGCTAGAACATGCGCTCCCCCAAGCATTAGGGTCAGGTTCAGGCAGCAAAGAACGGCCTTTCTGTCCCAGAGATATAGCGGGCACGGAGACAGCGCCACCTGAACCGTGTGGCAGGGACCCACACGGGGAGTGCGGCGTGCTAGGAGCAGCGGAGGAGGCAGCAGCCAGAAGCCAGTAAAGAGGCAGCTGCTTGCCACTACTTAGAGCTTTTGCCTGGTCAATCTCATTTGCTGCAGTATGAGAAAAAGAAAAACTGTATGCTTCTTTTTTAATATAAGCTGAGATGGCAGCAAATATTAGCATCCTTCACTGGAAGAAGCTACAGCATGCAATGAATATTCAAAGGGAAGCGATCAAGGTAAGTTAATTGAATGCTCAGAAGCAACTGTAAATTCCGATTGCTCCTTAGAGCAAAGCCTTGCCCAGCAAGACAGCCATGTGACCTTGGCATCATATAAACAGCAAAATTCTAGTGCAGAACAGACAAATTCAGCTCTATTGAACCCTGATCCCAAGCTGGTCTCTGTGACAGTTTACTCTCATCCTCACATCAGAAAAATACACCTAACTTCCTGGCCAGTGGTAGGACCTGATGGTTCGATAGGTCAGCAAACTTTCAATGGTGGCACTGCCTGGACGCTATTCTCCCTGTCCTGCTCTCTAGAAGTATATGGTGTTTGCAGCTGTACTCACACTGTGCACATGAATCACAAATGGCAGAATGGCAGGGGTTGGAAGGAGATCATCGTGTCCAACCCCCCAAAGGGGGGCATGGTTAACTACATTTCAGATCAACTAATCCTCCAGAAGAAAATGTTAGCTACAGTCCTCTCTACAATTAACTTCAGCACTGCCTCCAGACCTCCTCTGTTACACATAGATAAAACACAGTTAATGGGATTCAATCGTATTTTGAAAACTGTACTGATAACTCTTACTACACCTCTGCTTTTTGTGACGCCAACCTGAAAGACGACAGTTCTCCAGTCTCTCCCCTGCATCAAGTCTCTCTCTGTCATATGAAAAGACCAAAACTTCTTCCCACGTTCCCCTAGAAAACAGTAAGCTCACTGCAGCCCTGAAAGCCCTCTGACTGATCCCCCAAAGCCTTAACAAGCAGAGCAGAAGGCAGAAGAGAGGACACAGTGACCAATGCTTACTTTTGCAGTGTGATTGTTCATGCCTTAGCTCAGCTGCTACTGCTGAGCCAATCTGGGGCCAATCATGCACGTTAACTCTGCAGGAAATACCAACAAAAAGCAAAATTAAGTCATCAAGTTTAATCCTTGCCAGAAGTTCTCAGAGACAGAAGTGATTTGTAACTCTGCAGAAGCAAAGGTAAGCACACAAGACCCAATGACAGCAGGCAGCCAATCTAAAGTACATCCCTTCTCATGCAGTTCCCAAGGTTCCATCTTCCAGCTGTAATGAGATTAGCGGGACAAAAATCAGGTATTCATGCCCAGGAAAAAAAAGCATTTCTAAAGAGTTCCAGGGAGTGTCTGAAGGTGCTTCAACTGAGGGCTCTACCCCCCTGCAGCTCTGAGTACCACCTCAAGTCTGGAGAGGCCTCTACCCGTGCCTGTACTCCCAGGGGCATTAGGAGAGCATATGTTGCATCCTGCCTTTCCTGGCCCCTTTCAGACATTGCCATC